CATTTCAGTGAGAGCAGTGAGGAGAAAATCAATTCTTCCCTTGTTTATACCTTTTGTTTTCCTGCTCTGCAAGGAAGGATTTACACTATTATTTATAAAAATGGCTGGATGTGAGAAACAGACAGCAAGTTACCTTTCCCTGGGCACATTAACTTGTCATTCCTCATAGCTTTATAAGCAAAAGCTATTGTAAAAACCCATCGTAAAACATTTGACCTGAATGTTGTCATTTCTTGAACACAACACACTTGATTCAGATGATTCAGAAGTCAGATGATTTTATTTTTCCCTGCTTGCTATCTGACTGTTCCTTGAAATAAGAGTAAAATCCTTCTCCTCCTCTTAGTTGTGGAGCCAAAATGTAGCAGTAAGTTAGCCACATTAGCTGTAATAGTCTGTGGTCCTTAGCAGCAGGTGATGTGGTTTTTAGGAAGACCCAGCAGCTTCTTCACAGCTGTAGCTACAGTGTGTTATCGTATTTGATTGATGATATTTGGTAACTAAAATGTTTACTGGGACTAAGACATTCCTTTTTTTCTGTTGTGCATAGAGGTACTGCAGTTATCATGTGGAGAGGTAGTATAAGTGTATGCACACTGGAACTACACTTTGGTTTTCCTGAATCTTCCTCCATGTCAGGAGGGTTCATGGGGTGCTTTTGTAGTTTCATAGATCTAAAATACTCTCTAATGGTATCAGTGTCTTAATTTGTGTGCACACATGCAGTTGTATGCAAAAGCTTGGCCACACCTGGGCGCATTAAATAATTTGTTTATTTTTGAAGTGAAAATAAATACAACTTCAGCAGCCAGCAGCTATTAAAATGACCCTTTCTTCAAATGTTCATGCACTGTTATTTTTTATTTCATGAACTAAAAAAAAAAAAAAAAACCAAATAAGTATTGTGGCATGTGCAGAAGTCACCTCTCTACTTAACTGGCTCATCAGGATTTGTACGACAAGTCAAGAATTGTCATTAGGGGTGTCAGCTGTTCCAGAGGTGATACATTCTCGGACTTTTCAAACAGTGTGGAAACAGTGAACTACCTGTATTTCCAACCTGACAGTCTGAAATGTCACTTAAGGGGAACAGTGGCACTCAAAGTAAGATCTAGAAGACCAAGAAATTTTCAGGTAAACTACTGTTTATATGTGCTGAACCTGAGTCCCCTAACCTGAACATGCTGTGTATGCAAGACAGCATAACAATGTTTTTATTTTTAAGTTCAATACATATAAAGTAAGAATGCAATAACATTTGAAAAAAAAGGCTCATAGTTTAATGTCTATTTCCTGCAGAGGTTGTATTCTTTTCATTTCAAAGATCAACAAACTATGCCATTTCCCCAGGCTTGCCCAAACCTTCAGCATTTGTTCTGAAACAAGGAGTATTCCTCTAAATGACATATCATAAATACTGTAGGTACTATGTTTAACCAACAGTGTAGCCATGTTTCTGAATGTATCTCAGTGAGTGTATTATGAATATCGTTGTTGTACAAACTGTGGAGCCTATTTATGTATCTCCTCTGTGGAGTAGACAGAACAAATTTAGACATACAATACAGTATGTGTATATATATACGAGGCAAACACCTGAACTACTGTTTGTTGGTTCAACGCCTCTCTCGTTGTAATGACTTTAAGTGTGTTGCTATGAGTGTCAATTGTTAATGTTTAGTTCCAAAATGAGACATCTGCCATTTGAAAACACTGACACAGACAAAATGAAAATGGACCTTAAAATGAAGCATGTTATTGGAATAATTATTATCTATTTTTAAGGACAGAAACCATTTTTGGTTTTTTAACACTACGAAGTAAATTACTTTTTAAAAAATTAAGTAATTAATTTACTTATTCATTGGGCAGCACAGCAGTGCGGTGGCTAGCACTGTCACCTCACAGCAAAACGGTTCCAGGTTTGTGCCCTGGCCGACCCAATGCCTTTATGTGCGGAGTTTGCATTTTTTCCCTTTGCCTGCGTCGGTTTTCTCCGGGTGCTCCGGGTCCATCCCATAGTCCAAAGACATGCATCTTAGGTTGATTGGCAACTCTAAAATTAGCCATTATCCGGAAGGGCATCTGGCGTAAAACATGCCAAGTTTGCCGTGTGAATCGTCAGTTGGGTGGCAACTGATGATTCGCTGTGGTGACCCCTAACAGGAACAGCCAAAAGTAGAAGAATTTATTCATAGCCAAGCTTGATAAAGCTCTCATCTCACCTCATTTTCTATACCGCTTAGTCCCTGTACGGGGGGGCTAGAGCCAATCCCAGCCGGCAACGGGTAAAAGGCGGGGTACACCCTGGACAGGTTGCCGGTCCATTGCAGGGCCAACACAAGCTTGATAAAGTTTTGGAATAAAATTATTCACTTGCTTATTTGGTTGTGGTCAGTTAGCTTTGAGTTTATTGGCATGGCCCAGCTTTTCTCTGAGTGCCTTTTACTTACAGCATCAGTATTTCTCTGTAAGGTGCAGTTAATTTAAGCTGTGCAAGCCCACTGGTGCCAGTAATGAAGTAGCCTAAGAGAGGCAGCAATACTTCAGTTTATTTCAGTCTCTGTGTGTGTTTTGGTGCATGAAAACAGCTTACTTTAAGTCACACTTGGATACGGTTCCTTTAGTAAATAACCAAAAAAAAAAACACCTATATTTATGAAGAGGTTTATTTTTTGTCTCTCTTACATGTGTGTGAGATTGTAAAGTTTTGTTGTTTACTGTAAGCTGTTGAAGCACTGCATTAAATGCAAACGTTGATTTTAGAAACAAGCTCTGGGGTTATTATTTCCTTTCATTATACTGGGAAAGTGCTGCTGAAAAACCATTTAATGTCATTAGTGAAGTCATTCATACTGGGCACTTGGAGCAGCAGTTCCATTCCGACCACCATTTCCCTCTCACTGACCTTTTTATTCCTTCTGTAGTACACATTACAGACACACAGTTGATGCCATCATCTTCTAATACAGTGCTTCTGCTGACCTCTACCATACACTTCAGCTAGATCCCTGGATGATGAGCTCAAGGGACTGTTTAGTTATATTGTATATTGTAGAGCAGCAGTTGTGAACCCGTTAGAACAAAGAAAATCTGGACTGACAATATTACACATCTTTGAACAATTCATTATGCAACATAGTTTGCATTTTGTAGAAACTGAAAAAAAGAATATAAAATCTCTAAGGGTGAGTAATATATAACAGAGTTGTAACTTTTGAATTTCTGTTTTTATATGTTGTGGCCTGCTTGGCATTTGCAATTACAGTAAACTGTAATTTAAAAACCCCTCCTTGAACCGCCACCTTATTGTGGTGGAGGGGTTTGAGTACCCGAGTGATCCTAGGAGCTATGTTGTCGGGGGCTATATGTCCCTGTTAGGGTCTCCCAAGGCAAACAGGTCCTGGGTGACGGGTCAGACTAAGAGTGGTTCAAAAGCCCTTTATGAATAGATTAAAAACAAGGACCGTGACGTCGCCCGGCATGGCGCAGCCGGGGCCCCACCCCGGAGCCAGGCCTGGGGTTGGGGCCTAGCCCTGGGGACATGGAATGTCACCTCGCTGGTGGGGCAGAAGCCCGAGCTTGTGCAGGAGGTTGAGAGGTACCGGCTAGATATAGTCGGGGTTCCCTCCCCAAACCGGCTG